AACCACATTTGTCTCCAATACTTGTAAGCCCTCTTCAGATTTGATGCATGTTGGAGTCTTGTATCGAGTAATCGAAGCACCTTTTGAGATGGACAAGTTCATAAGAGAATCGAACGTCCCTTCATTCACAACTCTTATCTCAAGAGGACCTATAAATTCGTTAGCCCGACAGTACATGTATTCCTCGTCAAACGTATCCCCCATTACTAAACAACACTCCAAGAATGTCTTTTCATCAAGGTCCTTCATTTCCTCTTCTTTAGCTTTTACTTCCCAATATATCACATAGTGACCAGGACTACTGGAGATATCAGCATAGCTAGTGAAATTTACAAGCCTTTGATCTGATGACTCAAGAACTAGCCTTGCTCGATTCACCGCCTTTAACAAGTACTCTTCAGTTGTCCGGTCCGTATCAATGCTTAACAACGTGTTCTCTCGCCCTAGAACCCTAAACTTAGGTGCCTTGTTGTGGAATCCAGTCACTTTTACAATGTCTCCGATTCTCATCCTATACAAACCCCATAAGTTTGTGACCAATAACTGGTAAGAACAGCCGAGTTTGACGTCCGCTAGGTCCACAACATCACTATTGCCTCCCTCCATTGGTATAAACTCGAAGTAAGATAAGTTGGGCAGGAGCGTGTAAGAGGTGTCTTCAGGTTTAGACAAAGGATCAGTATTAATACCGAAAATTGACTCCGAAGAAGCGTAAATTGTTGAAACAAGAGGCAGGTCACCGCAGTAATGTGTCAGTGTAGGAACATACTGCGCCATTGAACCTGTAACAATAGCTTCAATGTATAAGGTTTGTGGCCATAGTTTCTTCATTATACCATTCCAGGACTTTTGGCTGCATATACTTTCAATCTCGTCTGATAATTTGGGACGGGGCTGACCTCCTAGAACCAATGTAACAGAGTTTCTACAACCAGAGTCGGTGATCCATTCACTGAGATGGCCTGATCGGATATCAGAACACAACTCCTTCCAAGAATCTTCGAGAACCTTGATTACTCGGACAATACTTGAAGCGAATACGGAACCTATTCTCGTGACCTCATCTCTTTGAACAAGACCACATAGCAAATGACAATAAAGGTTTTGTTTGAGGTCACTGCCTAACATAACTTCATCAGGACTCGTATAAGAGTAGAACCAAGTAGATGGCCGGTTCTTGAAATAGTCGCTCTTTAGGTACCAGCTTATTCCGTCATCAATGGGCAAGCCACCTGGAGTCTTGGTATCGTGCACTGTTAAGAAAAACAGCATCCCTTTTCCTTTCTCCACACCTTTCACATGCCTGATCAGAACAACGACAATATTTTTATTTTGTAAAATGAAAATGTATCATCATGCATGGATTATTGTTTATTTTATTTGCAGCAAAATATCAGCGCCAAACTATTCGAAACTCCTTTAAATTATAAAATTACTTTCTCTTGAACAATTGGAAGCACTTAATATATATTCATGAATTGTATTAACCCTAAGACATCTTTGCTCCAAGCCTCCAACTACTAGTTACATGCTTAAACATTATGAAATAATTTTCAAAAGAAGTTGCACAAACGACTATAGAATATCTAATTGGGAGATTGGCTAATTTTTGGAAAGTACTTTTTTATGTTAAAAAGATCAATCTTTCAAAATCATTAAAATATAGTTTAGTTTTATTTTCCTTTCTTTGATGACAAAAACATATTTAACAAAAACATCATTGCATTTTACACACAGACAACACATCGAAAAATATTTGCACCAATACAAATAAGTATAGAACAGGTATATATTTTATCATTCTAGTTATGATAATTTAAGAATAAGATAATACTTATTTTATAGACTTCTTTGGTAGAGATGTTTTGAAGTAAAAATGTACTTCTCAACTATCATAAAATTGTTTTTATAATAGTTTAATTTACTAGTTGAGTAGTAAACTTAACTCAGATATTTTTATGGATTAAAAGATTTAAAGTTAAATACTTTAAAAATTAGACATAAACACAATGGTATATAAAAGTAACAAATTGACATTNTTATAGACTTCTTTGGTAGAGATGTTTTGAAGTAAAAATGTACTTCTCAACTATCATAAAATTGTTTTTATAATAGTTTAATTTACTAGTTGAGTAGTAAACTTAACTCAGATATTTTTATGGATTAAAAGATTTAAAGTTAAATACTTTAAAAATTAGACATAAACACAATGGTATATAAAAGTAACAAATTGACATTAACTTACCTAAAACAGCATCTAATTTAAAATAAAAAAAACAGCAATAAACATATAACTAATTTTATAGCGTCTATAAAACAAACATACATAAGCATAATAGGCACATTAACTTACGTACATATCAAAACATATATACTACATACAAACACTTAAGTATAACTATGGCAATAACTAACGTATGGCAGCATCACAAATATAACAACAATAAAAATCATCACCAGTTTAAGCATAAAAGAACGTAAAAAAAAAATTCAAATAATTATTCTACAAATACTATATGTTTAAGATTTGAAAAAAATGGAAAACTACTATTAAACCCTCTTTTATAAAATTCTTTATGTTCATATGTCACAATCTTATTATTTTTTAACTTTGAGTAACCAAGTTTTATATAAGAAGATAATATGATTTCATTCACTTTTTTGTCATCCTCCGAGATATTTTTATGGGAAATTACACTCTATAGCGTTCAATAAAATTATAATTTAGTCAATGTACAAATAACCTAACCCATCTATATACCACACTACTTATATATATAATTGCCATATTACCCTCTGGATGAACCGGGAAAACCTGCTAGATTATTAAAATAAATTAAAAATATGTATTATACCTAACATTAGACGTGTCCTCATGACAGTCATAACCCTTCAAAGAGTTACTTTATGCTGGTAATTCTGAAGAAGGTGAATAGTTTCCTTCCAGATTTTACCTACCGCGTTCTCACCACCTCCCATATCCACCGTTGTGGCGTTAATCAAAGGCACAAAATCTAACAATTGAAAGAAGAGTTGCCTCCGGTAAGTTCCGATTAACTGTGAAGTTGATTTCTGTAATTAGGACTATTCTTTCTGTTGCATGTACAAATAATTCAGTGATGGAGTGTCTTCGTTGTCTGCTTTGTAAAGGGAAATAAGTTTTTATGTTTACTTGAGTCTGAATACTATCTTTTTTGTATGATTTGTGATTCTCTCGGGATTAATTGTTGGTGTTTGTTAAGTTGGACTTCTCGTGTTCCTAATCTCCAAATTCAAAATTACCTAGTATAGTTCTTCCAAATCTAGTGAAATAGTCAGTTTTGTTACCATTCTGTTTCAAGTGAAATTGTCTGTTCAGTGTCTTCAACCGGTGTACTTCAGTGAACTAGTTAAATAGATTTGACAAAACAATCTGATTTTCCTCATGCATGTTGCTGTGAAACAGTTTCTTAGTTTTTTTAGTTTAGGCATTGTTTGTGTTGGATCTGTCTTTAAATTAGGGCCGTTCGGCTAGTTTAGGTATCTATTACGGTGTCCTTCCGTTCATAGTTTGGTTTGTTAAGTTGACATAGTATAGACTACGAATAAAATAGAATAGTCAAGTGTGTTCTATTTTTTGGCACATGGAATGTATTTATATGTACTATACACATAGAGTGATCACAAATTCAGCGCCCATACTATTCCATATTAGCTACTCTCCATATAGAACATGATTATTAAATGGTACTATATGTTACATATGTAGTATGGATCTTTGCATAATCATATAGACTATTTGTAGTATTTCTGTTTTATTAGTGTATATTCTATTTAATGGACAAACAGAATATAATTAGTTTTGCGTTTTATTAACCTAGACTACACATTTTCTGGTTTGACTTTCATAATGTCAGTGAATACTGACAAGCTTTACGAACACATGTAATAGAATATATTTTTGTAAACATGTAAATAGAATAGTGTATTGTCATATGTAGAACATTGGACTTATATATGTGTATGGCTTGTTGTTAGTATGTATCGTGTTCTATCCATTTTTACAGAACTATCCTTACTAAGACGTATGATAAAATATATATCTCAACTCTTCTAAATAGAAAGTGTGGTCATATTTCAAACATTTAACTTACATTTATTTTTCCTTACAATCTAATTTTTCCATTGTTTGTTTTAGGCTAGTTATGGATGAGTTAGCTCGTTCAGGAGCTGAGAACTACACAATTGAGATGCTGGAAATGTGTAATGCGAGAGCTATGACCAAGGAATAGTAGCCAACTTATGACTTTATGATGTTTCTGCTGTTGTTTTGAATTACATTTTCTGTTAAACTCATATCTGCTACTTACCTATGTTGTTATTTTTTTATTAAGTGCTGTAAACTCTATGTTGTTATGAAGTGCTGTCAACTGTATTTTCCTTCTACGCACATTCCCTTATACACCTAAAATCTTTTAGATAGGGTTATGGGATGGATAGTTGCACAAAATAGACTCAGTATATACTCGACCTTACATATTTTACTAGTCCGTGGAATCATTCAACATACAATGGAATGAAATAGTTTTTGGATGTAGTATTCTAAAAAACACATCCAAAAACGTTTAAGTAACTGTTCTAATATTTTATATTAGGGTTTAGGGTTGAACGATTAGGGTTTTAGGTTTAGTATTTAGTGGGTAGGGGTGGGATTCAAATATTTTATATTAGGGTTTAGGGTTGAGTGATTATGGTTTAAGATTTAGTATTTAGTGGGTAAGGACGGGGTTCTAATATTTTATATTAAGGTTTAGGGTTGACTGATTAGATTTTAGGGTTTAATATTGAATGAGTAGGAATGGGATTCGAAGTAAAATATTAGTTGATTATGTAAATAGAAAGGACTATTTATTATGTACTATTTACCAGATGTTCTATTCTATTTTTTTACATAGAAACAGTGTCGTCTTCCCCACATCCATTGTCTGTCATCTTCTTCTGTAAAAAAGTTTTTGTACTAGGTAATGTTTAAAGATATGATCATAACTACTAAATATCTATCAAATAGCTAATAGTCTACTACGTTTCTTTATATATTCATTCCGATGGTTGCAGAAGAATTCAAAAAAAAAACTTAAAATTTTGAGATTTGTCAAAGATAAGTGTTTATAATAATTTATTGGTCATAGGTAGTTGTTGATATTGGACCATCTTTAGTGTCAATTTTTCTTGGCCTCATGTTAACTCGTTGACACCATTCTTTGATCTCTCTATATGACCGATTACTTGAAAATAGTAAGGACATAACCGGACAAAATATGTATGAAATGTCAGTAACTTAATAATGTCAAAATCAATGTTATTTTCTTAATTTTGATTGTAAAATTGGTTAGTTGACAAATTCTCCCTATTTTTATTCTAACACTGTTCAGAAAGAAAAAATATTATCAGAAACGTTTCTTTTTCTCTCAGCTTCTTCATGTAGAATCACTGTGTAGCACCAGTAGCAAATTTACCGATTCTAATATCTCTAGATCTAAATGAATGTTCAATTCTTTTTTGAGTATTTGTATCCCATATACAAACTAAACCCCTAAATTAACTATCTACCCTTTTTCTCTCTTATCTCTCCTCCCCCCCCTCTCACTATTTTTCCCCCAAAACCATGGCATATTGCTAATATCCAAGTTCTTTATGTATTTTCAGCCAATTCACCCTTCTTTTTTTCACCAATTCAACAATGATATAGAAAGTTAAAACCTTTTGTCAAACCCGTGAGGAAGTTAATAAAAAGTTTTCCTTTTGTTTGTTGATTGCATCAAATTAATTACTAGAAGTATTGATTTTTTCGAATCCATTAAATATAACTTTCGAATTTTATCGTTGGTAGATTGACTGATACAAATTCATTGATTCTGTTTGCTTTTAGTTAAATCATCTCTGTTTGATATTAATTTCCTTTTTTTTTGTTTTGTTAGAAACCGAGGATGATATTCATTGTTAAAGTACACAGTGGATCACACGATCACTCAGCTCATGCTCAGCCTAAATAACTCCCCCCCCCCCCCGGCACCCGTAAGAAATCTTAACATGAAAAAAAAAACAATTCAAGCCCTAATATAATTTTAGAATGAATAAAAACTTTCAATAAAGGTTATCGTTTAAATTTATATAAATGAATTTGTAATATATATTTAAAAAAATGTTATCTTTATGGAATACAGAAAATACATAAATAATGTTTTTAAAGTATAAGTAATTAAATTTTTAAAAATAATACGTACAAACTACAAAACTTTATGTTTATTTTACTCATCTCCATAAGATGATAATCCATATGATTACTGTAGTTAAAGTTGTTTGTGTATATCTAGAGACATTATTATATACTAATAATACTAATAAGACATATACACAAATTTTTATAGTTACTTTATAAAAAAATAAACAGTATGTTTGAAATATTTACTACAAAAACAAAACTAGACACATATTAAAAAAAAAATTCCTGTGGAACAATAAATATCATCAAATGACAAATAAATAATATATGATATCATTGTTCTTGCCTAAATATTTAATATGGATACGAGTAACCAAGACTATGTGAGACTATTTTTAAATGGTAACCATTCTCAAATTAGATCCATAAAAAACACTGGCGGATCAAAGTCTAATATTCATATACAAAGCAACTGCAGATTTGTATATTTACATATTATGAGAGTAATCATATATTTATATACACCTATAGTAAATTTGTGCGATACATATAAACGATAGTCGGAAACACAAACTGATATATAGATGTCTACCAACATTTAGAAAATAAATCAATATACAAGTCTACCAGCATCAAATAAATATACTTTGTCAAAAATATTTTTTAGGTAATTAAAAAAAATCTACCACAAATACTAATAAAACCTCTTAGAGGAAAAAACATTCACCGCTAATCATCACATACTTTTTTTTCAAATTGCAGTAAATCTACTTTAAGATCTTAAAAAAACAAATACAAACCTCGATTGCAAATGATTATCATAAAAAGGAGGTCACAAATGCCGATTGCAAAAAATGTGTGTTTTATTAAAATATTATTTTTGTTATCATTATACTGTATATTATTATTGTTAAATGATAATGGCAATTTTGTTAAGTATAAAATTTCAGAGTTAAAGACTTCCACCCCCCCCCCCTCATTTTTAAGCATTGGTCTAGTTTACTTTTTCTTTTAACTTTTTAGTAAGTATGAAAGTTTCAATAAATTTTGAGAAACTATCTTTAAATAATTAGGCAAACTCCGAAAACTATCTTTAATGAATTGGTTAGCTGTTTTGTTTATTATCCTGTATTTTTCTATTATCATGTCTTTCTCTATTGTATATATGATATATCCCGTCTTTTACTGTATAATTTTTGCATTTTCCGAAGGGTTAGCAATTTTATTTTGCAAAATGATTTTCAGAAACTTCCATTCAGATCAATAACTGACCGAAACTTAGAAATCGAATATCCAAATTTTAATATTTATATTAAAAAAAAATTATAATCATTCACGAATCTGATGTTTTTTTTGTATCAACAACTATGTTATGCACTCTTACTTGCGTATAACGTGCGCGATGAGATCTGTACTGGATGCAGAGCTATCCAAATACTTGTTATTCGTAGGTAGTATTTTGTTTGCTCCTCCAGAAGTTCCCGAACTACGACAACAGTTTCAAAGCAATTAGTTTTGTATACAAAATTTACCGAAACCAAAAAAAAAGCAAGAAATTCTAGAGTAATCTAGCTCTTATATTACCTGTTGAAGAAATTTGTAATGGGTAGAGCCGATATTACATTCGATGGCTCTCCATTCGCGACACGATCAATGTAAGTTTTCACATCTTTATAAGTGACTATTGGTAAGTTTTTCTTGAAGAGCTCTTTAGCAGAGCTTCCATGAAGGAAGTTTTGGAGATACTCTGTTCCTGAGTTAAGGGTGAGTATCTCTTTCAACAAATCATCTTGTATTTGCTTCACATTGGAGGTCAGGTCCTCAAGAACCTTTCCCTTTTCTTCCTCGTTGTAATAAGAGATTATACTCATATTTGGTTGTCTCTAACTTCACATGGAATGACTTGGCTTTATAGATAAGAATACATGAATGGGAGGTTCAAGTCACATGTCATTATTGTAATATAAAAAATTATGATCTACTACAGGAGGCAGCCAAGTGCTGTGTTAGACTAACGCCATTAATGCATCTGCGTCTGTTAGTTGACGTGATGGTGGTATAATGTGTATAACTACTTATATTTTCTTGGGTAACTGTTTTTAACTACGGGAAAATTGACAAAATAATTCTTAACTTTCGAAAATAAGCCAAAAAAATCTTCAACTCTCAAACAAGCCATTTTAATATTTAGCTTCTAGTCAAACACGAATATATTTCATACTTTCGTTGACCAAGCCATTTTAATCTCGTCAAAATTCAACCGTTTAGTTCTGTTAGTTATATTTAACGGTTAACTTTTAATGAGCCTAAAATGGCTTGGTCAAGGAAAGTATGTGATTTTTTATCCTAATTTAAAAATTGAAGATTAAAATTGCTTACTTAAAAATATCTTAACTTAGATTTATTTTTTTCTGACAGAAAAAATACAATTTTTCATATCGATTGTAATCATTAACTTAATAAAATATGTTTAAATAAGTTTAGATATAATATTTAAAAATGAATTAAAAACAAAAAATTTCTATATATTAGCTGTCGGAAATCCCTTTCACGCACTTAACTTCCTCATTTTCACTTGTTTCATCCTCTATTGAGTATATGTGATTATACTTTTAACAACAATGTGTTTAGGGTTTTACCTTTAACTTTTATGTTTTTATTCTTATTTTTTTTTTTTGAACGTAAGCACTTAATTATTTTATTTTATATCTGAATTTACAGTATACTTGTATTTTTAATCAATTTTTTTTTACTAAATAATTTTTTCTTTTTATTCATTTAAAAATATTATAATTAAGCTTATTTGAACATATTTTATTAAGTTTGTCATTCTAATCGATATGATAAACTACAATTTTTGTTGAAAAAAATAAAAAATAGCAATTTTTAGTTAAAATATTTTTAAGTGAACAATTTTAATCTTCAACTTTTAAATTAACATAAAAAAAAACTCATACTTTCGTTGACCAATAGGCTCATTAAAAGTCAACCGTTAAATATAACTAAGGGAACTAAACGGTTGAATTTTTACGAGATTAAAATGGCTTGGTCAACGAAAATATGAGATTTATTCGTGTTTGACTAGAAGTTGAAGATTAAAATGGCTTGTTTGTGAGTTGAAGATTTTTTTGGCTTATTTTCGAAAGTTGAGGGTTATTTTATCAATTTTTCCTTTTAACTACTAATATTTTAAAATTTTAATAAAGTTAGACGGCTCTCCAAGTCACATTCATTACAGCAATAAGTTACGATAAGGGGTAGGTGAGCCTAATAATTTTCAAGGAAGGAAACAGTGTGAACCTTGTGTGACTCTGAGCATATCTAAAACCACATGGATTTTGTCTAAAACTTGTGAAGTCATCAAACAACATATTATAGCAAAATGTTCTTGTAAAACAGATTTAGATATTGTTGTAAACCTCTTAAACCAAAATAACAAATATGAAACCACAAAGATGAAAAACCATGGATAAGAAACATCACAAGATTTTTCAGACCCATTATTAGTAATGTTCATGTTAGCTTAGTAAAAATAAACAGCAGCATAATTTGTTTTTAATTCAAAATTCAGGTGCATAAAGTCCACTGATAACATACTCAAACTAATCTTGATATTCAACAAATACACTCGCATACGTAACCCAAATGACCAGAGAAAAAGGACCCACCTTAAAAAACCTCAGACATTTGAGGTGTCTGTACAGAGAAACTTGTCCATCTCTCAACAGACACTCGAGGGAAGTTCTTGAAAATGGAGGCACCGAGTCATAAGAACATATCCAAGACCACAAAAGTTTGAATTTCTAAGTTAAGAGATCTAGCCGTCATTAATATACCCACAATGGAAGCAATAGAGGGTATGGACAAGATTCAAGAAGAGTTACACTGACGCAACTGAATTACTAAAAAAAAATAAAACAGCTGGATATTACAATTAGACTGGTGATGGTGATGAATACCATTACTACAATCTTCTTAACTAAAACGTTATGAATAAACTGATAATATCTCGAATCTTCTTCGTAATAAAGGAAACCAGAAATTGGGTGTCTGTACAGAGAAACTTATCCATCCCTCTTAACAGACACTCGCAGCAGGTTCTTTGAAAATGGAGGGCACAAAAACAAATCCAAGACCAACAAAAAGTTTGAAATTCTAAATTAAGAGATCTTGCCTTTCATTAATAAACCCACAGCAGAAGCAATAGAGAGTATGGACAAGATTTCAAGAAACGTTACACTGAAGCAACTGAATTACTACAAAAACACAAACAAAACAGATAGAGATTACATTTAGATTGGTGATGAATACCATTCCTACAATCTTCTTCACTAAAACATAATGAATAAAATGATAAATAGAAGAAACCATAAATTGGGTTTCTTCACGGACCCAAGACACTGCTAAATTTTACCTTCAACAACAATGACAAGTGATAAATTAAACATGAGAACGTCTCAAGAACAGTGAGAAACAAAGAATTTAACACATTTGTCACGTTTCCACAGCTTCAGGGACATCATACGAATCGATCGTTACTTCTTCTGACAACCACAATCCAGGAAAAATCGTCTGCCGAAATCAAAAAATAAAAAATAATGAAAATTTATGGTTTAGGGTTTAGAGTTGATGTTTTAGAGTTTATGGTTGATGTTTTAGGGTTTAGAATTGATATTTCAAGGCTTAGAATTGATAGTTTAAGGTTTAGAGTTGAGGTTTAAAGTTTAGTAGTTAATCATAGGTTTTTTAGTTAATGTTAATCAAATGGTTATAAATGTCTTTTGTCCTTCATAAAAGAAACATGAAAATTGGTATCTTGAAAGTGGTATTAGTGAAAATTTCTCAATAATCTTTTACAATAATATTTTCTTTACGATTTTAGAAACCCCAATTAGAAATTAATAATTTACTTTACAAATATTGTTTTTTTAGGATTTGCAAAAAAAAAAAAAACTACAATTAAACACGCTTTATTTATTTTTCTACTTTTACAAATTATGTAAAATTATTATTTTTTAAATTCGTTTTTATTATATTAAATATTTTTTTTAGGATTCGTGAAAGTTAAATTACAGTTAAACACTTTTAATTTCTTCTTTTTACTTTTAAACAATTATTAAAACTAATATCTTCCAATTTCATTTTTATTATCTTAGGATATATATATATATATATATATTAATAATCATCATTAGTTTAAGAAGAAAATAACATAAATAATACCTGAAATAATTATTCTACAAATATTTTTTGTTTAGGATTTGAAAAAAGAAAAACTACTATTAAACTCTCTTTTATAATTATTCGTTTGAAATTTAGGAATGATGACCGTGTACCATGGAAATATATTTATCCTACGTTAATATATGTTGAGTGTGTGGTTTAGTATTTTAAACAACAGTAAAGTGTCTAAAAATTATAGATAGTATTTATCGGAAAATTCAATTTTTTCAAAGGTGTTAATCCACGTATTTCAAGAAAAATTAGAAATTTTTTTGATTTTTGTTTTAATGCATATTTGTATCATTAACTGTCATATTATGAAGATAAAAGAGGTTTGAGACCTTATGTGTTCCCATTTCTCTAGAAAATAGAGATTTTATAGGGGTTAGTAAACTAATTAGATCGTAAATGAAGTTTAAATAAACTATTCGTTGGAAAGTTAGATATGATCACCATGTATCATGAAAATATGTTTAGACTACATTTATAAATATTGAGATTGTGGTTTGGTATTTTTAAAACAACACAAAAGTGCATAAAAATTAAAGATTGCATTTATCAAAAAAATGAAATGTTTTTAAAAGGGGTTAACCCACATATTTCAAGAAAAAATAAAAAAAAATTTTGTTTTTGTTCAAGATTTGATTCCCAAAATGCCCTTTGATAATTCGTGTCCCCTAAGCCCCCATACATCGACAGTTAATGTGGGGACGATCCATTGATTCGTTTGATTTTTTCACCCACGCATTTGATTAAACTTATTCGAAAAATCGCAATAACACCGATATACATATACCCCTATATATTAGTCCAAAAATAGTTGAAGTCGATCGTCCAGGTTAGTGCGGCACGAGGAACGATATAGATAAAAGAAAGGAATTTAAAATAAAATCGAAAAGAAAATAAAAGATTAAAGAGTTTTAAATGCGAGCATATCGTTACTTGATTGTAAGTTGCTACCGACCGACGATGCATAAGACAAAGTTGGAAGATTTATATCGATTAAAAAATACATTTCATTTTCTTTTTTGCTAACTTTTTTTAATAGTATTGATAGATTTGGTTTCAAAATGAACTCAACAAAACATTCATTTTCACAGAAAATAGCAAAACAATTGGAAAAAGAAGATTTTGAACAGTCATATTTATTGATTGTTTCCAGGAATCAGCGATCGAATTATAAATATGAAATTTAGATAAGTTACCTTATGGAAACTTAAAAACGATATTCATGTAGCATGAAAATACATTTAGCTTACATCAATATAAATATATAATGTGATGAAATAACTTTTAATCAATATTAAAGAGCCTAAACTTTTGAATAAAGCATTTGTTGAAAAATTCAACTCATATATTTTGAGAAAAATAAGAAAAAAGGAAAATTTTATTTTAATGCATATTTGCATCATTCAGTGACATAGTATAAACAGTAAAGAGGTTGGATACCTTAGATGTTCATGTTTCTCTAATAAATAGAATTTTATTTTTATAGGAGTTTGTCCACTGAATTAAGTGGTATATGAAATTTAGATAAATTACATGATGGAAACTTGGAAACGATGTTCATGTGGCATGAAAATACATTTAGAATACATTAATATAACTGTAGAATGTTATAAGATAACTTTTGATCAACTATAAAGAGTTTTAACTTCTGAATATAGCATTTATTGAAAAATTCTACTTTTCCGTAGGGGTTAACCCACATATTTCGAGAAAAATGAGAAAAATTGAAAATTTTATTTTTATCATTCAGTGACATAGTATGA